TGCTTCTCCCAGGTCTAGGAAAACAGAAAAGATGTTTTGGATTTTCCAGCCCAAAGGCCGGTGATATAGAACAAATTTGTGACAATCCATTAAAAAAAGGGCTAATTATGGAACCATGTAGTCTTACATGTGGGGAAGGTTTTCATTTCTATATAGAACTAAGGAAGCCAAATACATGGTTATAAAAAGAGTTTATTGAGAAAAGGGACATACTGCAAAAACAAATGGAGGCACTAATCACATACACAGAATTCCAGATAAAATCAATACACTCAGCCTAATTACACTAGTTACTTAGTAGCTTAATCAAGGAGTATTTCAGCACTTGTTCATCATAAAGAAGAAAGAGGGAGAAAAATCATCTGGGCCTCCAGCTTGGAGTTTCATAGGCAGGTCCTTATTCTTATTTTCTCTTCTTTTCCCTGTGATCTTTCCTTAGCTCTATAGAACTGAAGGATACGTGAAAGCAGCCTCCTTGGGGAGACTAACTGTTACTTTGCCTTATCAAGGACAACACTCATTTTATGATGGCCTGAATCAACCCAGCAAATCAGAAATTATTTAAATTAAAGCCACCTCCTAATGAATTGCACCTATCCAGGCCTCTCAAAATGGTGTCAGTTATCAGATGCCTTAGGGATACTACTGAGCCATACCAGAACTAGAAGTTTATCATATTATTGAAGGTTAAAAAAAAAAAAAGATTGAGATATTTTCTGGTCTTGTTTCCTAATACAGATCCGATCAGATTGTGAAGAAACGCAGCCAATTATATATAAAATAAGTGGAGTAGGCATTGATCAGCATCCCGTGGGAGTATTTGTCATCAATCAGAAGACTGGTGAAATTAATATAACAAAAATAGTGGATCGAGAGGAGACTCCAATGTTTGTGGTAAGTACTATTGGCAAAACAGATCTTCTTTACCTATTACTGTTATGACTACAATATCTAAATGATGATCACTCAGCCCCCCCCCCCATATACAAGGTAGTTTCCTGAGACCCCTTGACATTTTAAGTATGTCTGTTAAGAACCAAAAAATATGCCTTTGCAGCAGCTGCTAACAAAACTTCCCCCTCCATGGAAACTTTAGTCTTTTTAATGGGGTTCCACTTTTAGTTTAAGAATGGATTTGGGGCTATACATCTTTCTAGGATGTTGGTGGTTTTTTAATATAAAACTGGGATGTTTTTCTTGGGTGGTTGGTATACAGCTTTTTATTTTTGATTCTTTTGCTTTTATTCTTATATTATTTATGAGCTACTATGGTTATATTTAATATTTATCACTCTTAGCCACCTGGAATATGAGAAAAGTCAGGGATCACTTTGTAATTAAGTCAAAGATGACCTGAATTCTTGCAGTATTGGATGAAGCTTCTTTAGCTCCCTGTTGAAAGTATTTTGAATACTTTATACTCCTTTTGAATGAAGCTTTTTATTTTTTAATGTCTTAATCCAGATTCACTGTCATGCTATAAATGTTATGACTGGGAAATCAGTAGAAACACCTCTTGATCTTCGTGTTCGGGTTCTGGATATAAATGACAATCCACCAATATTTACACAACACATGTTCTCCGGGTCAATAATAGAGAGCAGCATGGAGAGTAAGTACTTGGTAAATAAATGTGCCTATTCCAGAATAGTGACCAATATGTATAGTTACATGTATCATTTTCTCATCTGTATAATTTCTGATTTCCTGAAAACATAGATTTGAATGCAGCACTATCTTTCTTGGGAGTAAGTCTTAATTAATTTAATGGCACTGAGGAACATGCACAGAATTGTGCCACAAGTCCCATTTTTGCCAATAGAGAAATTAAGTTTGGGTTTAATTCTCTCCAATTGAACTCATTGGCACGTGTCACTACTCATTAACATTTCACTTTGAAAACTGGAAAATTTATTTAGTTTTCAGCTAAGCACAATATGCTATCCTGGTCAGTGAATAAACTACAGTTGATTTTATAACAGTTAGTCACATTTTTCCATTGTGATGAGCAAATGGGTCTATGGGGCCTGTTTATGGTTTCCTGGCTTATTCTTGATCACATTTTCTATATCTCTCAATTCTCTAATTAATCCACAGTGGAGCATGTGGTCAGTGCTCCACCTGTCCAGCAAAAACCTCCAGGGCCTAACAGTGGTGGTTTATCTGCTATTGCATCTGTCACTATCACTGCAGCAAACTGAGATTATGATGAAAGAATCATATGCATGGAGATGTCGAGATGCACCCAGTGTCTGACATAGGCATGTAACTCACAGGTTTTGTATAATGGCATCATGATACCTGTTTCATCATTTAGCTATACCCCCTCCCCATGCTTGTGACCACTACCACTTAATATTGCTCTATAGACAAACATTTGAGCAAATAAAAGATACAATATTTGTTCTGAGATAATTGAAATAATCTCAAAGTAAAATATCATGTACAACCTAAGAACAGAATTAAAACAAAGCACTATATTACAATTAACTCAAATTGTTTGTTAAGATAGATTGCAAAATCTTTACCTTTTCATGGGGAACGTCCTTGAGAGCAGAACATTAGAAATCCATGGAAGTGCCTTCCCAGTATGAAAAATGCATTCCTTTTTCTTCTTTGTAAGCAGACTAAAATAGAGATTTTACAAATGACGGTGCTCTATGATTTTAATATCTTAATATCTTCAGCTCTTGCTCCCTTTTGTCTTTTCATTCCTTCCAGATACGTTTGTAATGAAAATAACTGCTATAGATGCTGATGAGCCAAATAATTTAAATTCCAAAATTGCTTACAAGATTGAAAGCCAGAATCCTGGAGGTCCGTTACTGTTTATCTTGAACACAGAGAATGGAGAACTTCACATTGCAAAAGCTCTTGATAGAGAGGTAAAAACAAAACAGAAAAGAAAAACCTTTTGGAGGGACATATTATTTGTTGGGAAAACAGAATATTTTGCGGCCAGGATGTTGATGGACCGGGCATGGGGCGGTGGATGGATGAATATGAGTTTTGTCAATGCCTCAATATTGTTTATTGTTTTCAAATGGTCTTTTTTAGTGTTCTGTGTTTTTGTTCTATTCTCTACCCAGAGTTCCTTCTGGTAGAGGGGCAGCTATATAAGTTTATTAAATAAATGAATAAATAAATATTTTCAAAATAAGTGAGATTTCTGGAATCTCAATAACTGTTGCAAGCAAACAATCTGTAATGAAAATAACTTAAAAAAAAAAAAAAGACATCCTTGCTCTTCTCAACCTCCCGGCAGCCTTCAATACCATCAGCCATGGTATCCTTCTGGACTGGCTCCAGGGGTTGGGGGTGGGTGGCACTGTATTGTGCTGGTTCTCTTCCTTCCTCTGGGCTGGTTTCAGTCAGTGTTGATTAGGAGAAAGAGGTCCAGCCCTCTGTGGGTTTCCGCAGGGCTTGGTACTCTCTCCGCTCCTGTTTAACATGTACATGAAGCCACAGGGTAAGGTCATCCATCATTATGGGGTGAGATGTCATCAAGATGCTGATAATACCCAGTTGTACATCTCCACCTCTCCCCTTCATGGATCACTGCCTTGTCATGGCAAAGGAGCTTGTGTAACTCAATGAAGCCATTGATGTCCTGTCCTGGTGTCTGGAGGCTGTAAGGGTTTGGATAGGGATCAATAGGCTTCAGCTTGACCCTAGTAAGACTGAGTGGCTTTGGGTTTTGGGGACTTCAGGTTCCAGGAACTTACCATCTTTGGTGCTGGATAGGGTTTCACTGACCTAAACAGGCCCTGTGCACAATCTTGGGGTCGTCCTGGATTCACAGCTCCTGCTCGATGGGCAAGTGGCAGTCATGGCTAAAAGGGCCTTTGTGCAACTTCAGGTTCTGCACTAGTTGCACCCATTCCTGGATCAGGAGGCTCTTCTCTCAGTCACTGATGCCCTGGTCACCTCCAGAATGGATTACTGTAACACGCTATACATGGGGCTGCCCTTGAAGATCTGGAAGCTACAGCTGGTGTAAAATGCAGCAGTGTGGACTGTTATGTGTGCTCCTTGATCAGTACCCATTACACCTCTGCTCTACGATGTGCACTGATTGCCAGTTTGTTTCTGGGTTCAATTCAAGATGCTGATTTTAACCTTTAAAGCCTTACATGGCATGGGCCAGGTTATTTGAGGGACCGCCTCTCCCCCATTACATCTACCTATCCCATCGGATCTGGCAGAAGAGACATGTTACAGGCCCTGTCTAATAATGAATATCATCTGACGGGACCCAGGAGGAAAGCCTTTTCTGCCACAGCACCCACCCTTTGGAACATCATTCCCCCGAGGTTAGACTGGTCCCGACCCTGCTGGCCTTTTGGAAGGCTCTTAAGACATGATTTTGTCATCATGCCAGGGGATCTGGTGGTGGCATGGAGCCTATGAGTTGATTATACTGTTAGTAATTGTATGTATTGTACTGTCCCACAGATTATGTTTTATGGTTTTGTTTTTAATGGTTTTTATTTTAGTTGTTTCACTATTTTTTTTATTTTGTTATTTGTGTGAGCCACCCAGAGTCACGTATGTGAGATGGGCAACCATATAAATTGAATAAACAAATAAATAAAAGGGGGGGAAATCCTGAATATTTCTAAGGTGGTAATCCAATGCTTGATAATTTAGCAGTAAGTCTCATTAATACATTGCATTTAATCCAAACAATCATTTCAGTGAAAGAGCAAGGTAGAAGGAATATATACATATACATATACATATACACACACACACACAGACATACCTACATACACACATACCAAAATATGAAATAAAATCCATATTTCATAAAATTAAAAAACTCTGTGTTAGACTAATGTTCTTTATTATTTATATGAATTTTAAAGCATTTGTCATGTTATTCCCCCCTTCTTCTGTTTCTTCTTTCCCATATTTTTAGGAACAAAGTCAATATACTCTGGTTGTGAAAGCCACAGACAGGAATGGAGGGCCAGATGGAATATCATCAGAATGTTTATGTCAGGTTAAAGTTCAGGATGTGAATGATAATTTTCCTACTCTTTCACAGAGCTCGGTAAGCTTACTGATAGCCAATGTGATCCATAATTAGTTTCTTTTCAGTCTGGTAATTCTTGTTTTATAATTATTCTTCCACACTCACTAACTGCAGTGGAGGATTAGTGGAAATCAACAGATCCATTTCCAGAAAAGGAGTAGCTTTAGATTCAGTGGATCCAAAGCCAGTTCCTCCATATCCTACTTACACAATATCCTGTTTTCAGTCTTTCCCCCAGCCCCCAGTTCCTAACCATCTTCAGGACAAATATGACATCCTAGCTCCTTCCATAAGCAATAACGGGAGATATTATAATTGAATTATAAATCATCATCAAGATAGAAATTATTTCTATATTTTCTAATAATCTCTGGGGATCGGAAATGAGATCTACATAGGGATGGATTTTTATGCCTTTTGAAGTCCAAGAAGAAATGGATATATATTTGGTCCACATAGTTTCTCTTTTCTTTCCAAAGGAGAGAAATAGTTTAAAAGCTTGATCCAAATTTTGCTGAAGGCAAACCATTTAATAATGCAGTATTGGCTATGGTATCAAAATCAAACTAAGTAAGCTGACAACTTGTTAGACCAAAGTCCATGGCTTAAAATTTTAGGACTTCTTCACGCATCAAAGATTACATGTATTTTAAAAGAAAAAAATGTAGCCAACATAAATCAGTGTGAATGACATGAAAATAATTTTTGAAAGAATCATAAATTATATAAAATATGGTCTGACTTCTAAAACAGATGGGATTGGCTACATCTCATTGGTGAATCAACACTCAATGAAAATCTGTTCATTGCTGTGTAACCATGTATGAAATGAGCATCTGATGAAAAATATATAGGAAGAGAACAAGTGAAGCTGTCATGAGTATACTTAGGCCGGTAGTACTGTTTCCACATCCCCGTGTAACAAATGAACTTTTTCACTAAAACAAATTATGCAGATAACACAAAACTTAGAATAGAAGGCTAGATTCTTCTTCCTGACATTGTAGTTGTTTATTCATAGGCAGTATTACTCTTAAAAACTGAAGAGCATCCAAAAATGCAATTTATTTCTCCCAATATAGAAGTAATGTAGCCCATAGTGAGTTTTAGCAATTCATCTATTCCCTGTATGAACTAGTTAGGAAGGACGATATAGCGTGGGAGGTTGTGTTGTCATCATGAGTGACAACATAGCTGCTGCCCAATAGAGGTAAACAGGAGGAAATTACTGTACTCTATAAGTTATGCTCACAGTATGATAGATAAAAAGAAAAATGAGCAGGTGGGAGCACTATAGCAAGCTGAAGATGATCTTTGAGTTCATTGCATTTATTCACTCTATTCTCTTGAACACACATGCCAGGAATGGGGTCATGCTGATAACTGTTTTGGGTCTATAGTACAGACTTCTATAGTGAGTAACCCTTCATATATGAAGCTGTATGCGCTTAGAAGCTCATTCCACCAATAAACAAATATCTAAAATAAATTAGATGTAAATTTCACAATAACAAGGTGAAGCTCCACAGCCCAACCCAGCATTAAGCTCATAAGTTTAAGTGCATGCTTGAATAAGGTCTTTCCCCGATTAAGTTTTACAGTACTGCTGTCCTCAAGTGTATTCCACAACATTAAAAAGTGTCTTCACTTCTCCAGGTGGTTATCCTATTTATCCATGCACTTTTGTGCATTACCCAATAAGTAAGCATGAGGCACAACTACCTTGAATATCATAAGCTTATCATACAAGAACAATAGCGGATGATTAGTATTCGTAGCAAGTTTGAAATTACAGTGACAATAGTACACCAAATTTCTTTCAAGCTGATGGGAATCTGATACATGTCTTCATTGCCAATTGCAATGTTCTTTCTTTTCTAGTTTTCAGTATCAATTCTAGAAAATTCACTGAGTCAGGAGCTGCTGAGGATACAGGTTTTTGATGCAGATCAAGAATTTACAGATAACTGGTTTGCGGAATTTTACTTTATCTCTGGAAATGAGAATCACAACTTTGAGATCACCGTAGACAGAACAACTAACGAAGGTATCCTGAGTGTTGTAAAGGTATGAATTTCAAATATTCTTTTACTATTGTTGAAACTCAAATTTTGATTCTGAGTGTGTGATAAATCAATAATCTCCCCTGGCATTTTGTTTTTAACAGTAGTGCCCAGAAAAAGGTCTGGGTAAACACTTTTTTAAAAACTGGAAAATCATCTAGCACATTACTGCTGTCTTTCCCAGACTGTGTCACTGTGTGCCTTTGGCTGTGAACCAATAAAGGCTAAATTGGTTGTTAAATCCTCTGTATGGGATACAAGAAGTGGATGTAATGGGATACGGGAAAGAACTTGAGAGCCTGGGCGAAGAGATGCTGCCAAGGGAATGGTCAGATAAGAGACAGCATAGCCTGCAGCTAGATAGTGGGAGGGGCAAGAGGCTCAGAAGAGACCCTTCCTAGTTTCTTGGGCTGTAAAGGAGACATGGCGGGGGGATTGTACTTTCATACTTGCAAGATTCTGTCAATGTAGATTTATAATAAAGTAGATTTAGCTCATTTGGATGTGATTCCTATCTGGTTTACCCCACAAGGGTTAGGGTAAATCTTAGACATCAATCTTGCAAGTATGAAAGTACAATTCTTCCCCCTCCGCCACCTCCTTTACAGTCCGAGAAACTAGGGAGGGTCTCTTCTGAGCCTCTTGCCCCACCCACTATCTAGCTGCGGGCTATGCTCTCTCTTATCTGACCATTCCCTTGGCAGCATCTCTTCGCCCAGTTTCCCAAGGTCTTTCCACATACCATTGCAGTGACATACCAAGGGCAGGGCAGGGATAGTGGTTGTCCGCCCTGGATGCAGTCAATAAGGGGGGTGGAGTGTGTCACTGCACTAAAGATGAAAAGAAAGCTAACAGTGGGTGTAAAGTGGGTCACTGCACTTTGTGCTCATCAATCAGCTGTTTGGCAGTTGTCAGTGAGGCATAGGTACAACAACAGAGGAGGGGGATGTTAAAAAATGATCCAGTCCAGGGGTCAAATATGCTAAGTACACTACTGGATATAAGTGTTATGCATATACATGGTTCAAAATAGTTTAAATTTGAAGAAAAAATGTATTAGAGAATGATAGCATAGTATCTCTGGGAATGGTCTATGCTCTCTGCTATAACCAGAATCTGACCTCATTTACATATTTAATTCTGTAAATATCCACACTTGCCACACTTACCATTTAAGCTACTTCTGTCCTATGCTCATGCTGGCTTGACTCTTAAATGGCTTATGGCAATTCTACCCAGACTGAATAAATAAATAAATAAACATCAGTGAATGTAATCCCCTTAACTCACAAGTAATTATTTTGGTGAATATGATCATCTTTGTCATCATCATCAAGTCAACAAATTCTGCATTTTTAGTTTTAATTATTCGTTATTCTGTAATCTGGATGGGATTTCAATCACTCAGTCATGCTTACCATCATGACTTTTTTGATCCCTGGTTTCATTATGATTTGTATTTCAATTATTCCTTTGATTGATGAAATGACTTCTGATAATGCCACGTGAGATAAAAATAAGCACTGATATCACTGGCTGTGCAGCTAGCTTTTTCATAGCTAATCTGAAAATGAACTCAGCCATCAATATTGCAATATAGAAGGACAGTGTTCTTGTATGTTGCCTGAATTCTGTGGTATGGAGACCTCACAACCAAACCCTGTCCACGCTCAGATGACAGCCAATAGTTTTCCTTCTTACTTAAATGATCCTGCAGTTTTTGAACATTGGTTCCCTTTCTAATAATTGAGGGGAAATATCTGTTGCACCATATGCCGATCTTTTTTGCCATATTTGCCTCTGGCAAAGCCAATATTCCCTTCGTGTTTTTAAATTCTGCATTCTGTGTATTGTTCAGTTTGTCTGAAGTAACTATCTCCACAC